GCTCGAACCCGTCTCCCCTGCATTGGCAGGCGGATTCTTAACCACTGCGCCGCCAGGGAAGCCCAGCTCTCATCTTCTTGATCTCATCACACTTTGCCTTCCTCTTTCGTCTCAGATACGTGGTAACTTTTGTGAAAATGCACGTGAGGGTCCTTTTTCCTTCCTCTGGCAGTTCACTGCTGTATCTCGTAAAGGGCCAGGTGCTCCCGGGTGCTGGCACGTTTCCCTGGAACTTCAGAAACAGTGGTCAACGCAGCTCCTGGAAGAGACGATTGATTCCCCTGCCTGTGATACAGGCAGAGACAGACTTCTGGGAAGTGGGCATCGATCATGACAGGTCCTCTGTCCCCAATGACCAGCTCCTATCCCACCTCCTCTGAGCCACACTTCCTGCTGCCCTTTCCCGTTCTCAGGGACCTTTGTCCTCACCCCCCGGAGGGCGTGCGGTGGTCCCCGTGCGGCGGTCCCCGTGCGGTGGTCACTGTGCAGCAGTGGCCTTGGAGGCATCGACCTCTTGGATCTTGTTCTCTGAGGCGGCCAAGTGCTGTTTGCCAAATGAGTGTTGAATTGGGCAGCTTTCCACCTCGTTCGGAATTCATGCTTATTGGTGATGCTGCCTGTTACAGTCATTCGGGCCCTTTGAGGAGACACCTTGAGTTACTCGTTCAGAACATGCTTACTTGGGCCCACCTCTTCCTGAGCATAGACCTGGGAGCGAGCTGCATGAGCTTTTGTTTCCAAGCCCCCCGCACTCAGACGCGGGGCCCGGTGGCGCTGCCGGGCCGCCCTCACGTCCCCCCCCCCCCCGCCCCGCACGCCTCTGCGCCCGCCCGCGTCACTCACCCACTCGCCCGGGCTGCCGGCTGGTTCCGAGTGGGGTCCTTGCGCGGGGACAGCACTTCAGCTGCAGCAGGTGGGTGCGGGTCGCAGGTCAGGTTTACTAAGGGGCACGTCCCAGCGACTGCAGTGGCTGTGGTGGGCAGCCCAGACCCTCGTCACCACCACAGCAGTGGATGCTTGGGCGAGGGGCTGTCGGATGAGAATTTGACAGCTGTGATGCCTGAGCGCTGCTGTTGGACTCTGACCCACGTGGTTGAAGTTTTGTAAACCTGAACGGCAGGAATTACGCTCATTTCCACAGGTCACCACAGTGAGTCACGGTGAAAAGGGCCGTGTCTCCTGGGTTCTCGAAGTGAATTGTTGGCACCTAATCCTTCGGAGGGGGCAGTTTCCTGAGCATCGAGTCCCGGGAGCTGGCGCGCGCCGTGCGTCCTGCCAGCTCGCCCGCCCAGGGCCCCCTGGCTGGTGCCAGGCTGATGGGAGGAGGCCGATCCGTCCGTCATGCTGGGGGCTCATGTGCCTGTACATAGTCCTTGCTTTCAAAAGGAATTCTTTACAAATGTATCCAAGAGGCTGTGTTTTCTGCCACAGATGAGCTTAATTCCATAAAATGCAGCTTTGTGTTTTCGAGCGTAAACGCAGATTGCTCGACAGACTTAATACGGCCAGGCGCTCTGGCGAACGGCAGCCATGTGAGCGAGCTCTCTGGAGGTGGCAGCGGGGCTCCCGGCCCCTCCGCGCTCCCACGGACGCCGTCCCCCCCATCGTGACCCGCTTCTGGTCCTCGTGTCCCTCCTGGGAGTCCGTCGTGGTGAACGCAGGGAGGGGTGCTGTCCTCAGCGTCAGCGGAGCAGGGGGCTGACAGGATGCGGACTCCCCCGAGCGCCCGTGGGGTGACCTCGACCTTCGCTGTGCCGTTTCTGGCATTTGTGTGGATGGTTTTTTGGCTACAGCGGCTTTGCAGAACCTGCCTGTGACACAGCGGGATGTGGACCGGCAGACCAGGGGCCCGGGATGGCCTGAAGAGAGCTAGCGAGAAGTTGGAGGTGGCCACGCGGGCCCCCTGCGGCCTCCCTGAAGCCAAGGTGAAGCCTCAGGCCTGACCCTCCCTGCAGGTTGGGGGTGGGCAGAGATGCCATGGCTCTGGCACGGCCCCTCTCTGGGCACCATTCTTCTGTCCAAGCTCGCGCTGACGTCCTGTAGCCTCAGGACTGGGTGTACAAATATCTTTTTGAGTACCTGTTTTCAGTTCTTTTGGGTGTATGCCCGGAAGTGGAATTGCTGGATCATACAGTAATTCTGTGTTTAATTTGTTGAGAAACTGCCGTCCTGTTTTCCGCAGCGGCTGCGCCAATTTACATCCCCACCAGCAGTGCACGGGCTCCCTCTTCCCACCTCGTCGCCAACACTTGTTATTCCTTGTCTTTTTGATGATGGCCATTCTGACAGGTGTGAGGTGACATCTCATTGTGGTTCTGATTTGCATTTCCCTGATGATTAGTGATATTGGACATCTTTTCATGTACCTGTCGCCCACTTTATGTCTTCTTTGGAAAAACGTTTATTCAATTCCTCTGCCCACTTTCATTTTTTTTTAAATTTTTTAATAAATTTATTCATTCATTTATTTAGTTTTGGCTGTGTTGGGTCTCCGTTGCTGTGCGGGTTTTCTCTAGTTGCGGCGAGCGGGGCTACTCTTTGTTGCAGTGCACGGTATTCTCATTGCGGTGCCTTCTTTTGTTGCAGAGCACGGGCTCTAGCACACAGGCTTCAGTAGTTGTGGGCTCAGTAGTCATGGCTTGCGGGCTCTAGAGCGCAGCCTCGGTAGTTGTGGCGCACGGGCTTCAGTAGTTGTGGCTCGCGGGCTCTAGAGCACAGGCTCGGTAGTTGTGGCGCACGGGCTTAGTTGCTCCATGGCATGTGGGATCTTCCCGGACCAGGGCGCGAACCCGTATCCCCTGCACTGGCAGGCGGATTCCCAACGATTGCGCCACCAGGGAAGTCCCATTCTGCCCATTTTTAATGGGGTTGTTTGTTTTTGGATGTTGAGTGGTCTGGTTCTGTATAATTTTGGATATTAACCCCTTATAAGATAGTAAATATTTCCTCCCATTCCATAGTTTGCCTTTTTGTGTTGCCGATTGTTTCTTCTGCTCTGCAGAAGCTTTTTCTTTGTTTCTTTTTCCATTTACAAAGTATTGGCTGTATTCCCTGTGTTGTACAGTACACCCCTGTAGCTGATCTTACACCCAGTAGTTTGTACCTTGCACCCTCCCACCCCTGTATTGGACGCACCCCCCACCATAACTACTAGTTTGTTCTTTATATCTATGAGTTGCAGAGGCTTTTTAGTTTGATGTAATTTCACTTGTTTATTTTTGCTTTCGTTGCTTGTGCTTTTGGAATCATATCCAAAAAATCGTTGCCAAGACCCATATCAAGGAGCTTTTGCCTAGAAGCACAGAAGTTTAAGATTTTGATGTAGTCCAATTTATCTGTTTTTGCATTTGTTGCGTGTGCTTTTGGTATATCTAAGAAATCGCTAACAAACTCAGTGTCATGATGCTTTCTCCCTGTATTTTCTTCTAAGAGTTTTCTAGTTTTATCTAGTATGTTTAGTCTTTGGTCCATTTTGAGTTAATTTTTGCACATGAAGGTAGGGGCCCAACCTCGGTCTCTTCTCAGAAACTTTTTGACATGGGTTTTCTGGTAGTCATTTGCCAACTGACTTGCTCCCCGAGAACCTAGGATAGAAAGGCTTCCGATCGATTGACCACAGACCCAGCTTTCTGAAGTCCCCGCACACTCACCTGGTGTCCTCAGCCGTCCCTGTCCTGCCCGAGCTCTCAGCCCTGACCGTGTTCTCCCTGCTCCTCGGGCACAAAGACAGGACCTAATTCGGCAGGCCTGCGCGTCCTGCCCTGCCACACCCTCTCGGGCCCTCTGTCTGGGACGCCGGCGCATGGGCCCGCTGTTCCGTGTCCTGCCCCCACACACGCAGGGCCACACACTGCAGCCGGGGCCTCTTCAGGGAGCGGCCAGGCGCAGGACCCTGAGGTCCTCGGGGAGGGGACCTCAGAGCCGCAGGCCGTGTCCATTCCGCCTCTGGCGCCCCTGCCTGCCCTCCCCCTTCCCAGCTCCGATGCCCACAGTGTCCTCACGTGGGGTTAGGTAGTGGGAGACCTGGATGTGGGGACAGGGCATGTGGTGCAGCCTGGACCCTCCCCCACGGCGCCTCCCGGCCCCCTGGACGGCCGACTCCTGGTGGCCTCGCCCGTGCTGGCAGCCCTTGCTGGGCCTTTTCCCGAAGGGGTGCCGGGCTCTGGACCTTACCAGTCTAAGGACGGGGTCGGGCTCGGCACGTCACGCCCTCCCCGACTCCCTCCGTGTTTATCCCCGTTCCCTGACCTTCCCGGCCACCACGTCTGTGCCCAGGACCCCCGCGTGTCTCTGCCCGAGCCCAGGAAGCTCGTGTGGACTGCTCATTGTGTGAGTGCTTGTGAACTTGGTGTCGGCAGGACACGTCTGTGCGGCAAATGATGACATCGTACCAGCTGAGCGTGTGGTGATACCGTACATTTTTACTGGGCCCTTACTATGGGCTGGGTGCTTTTGAGATTCATAAGATAAACTCATTTAACCAATAAAACAACCCTAGGAGGTAGGAACTATTGTTCCTCTATTACATCTGAGGAAATGGAGAAACAAAATTAATCCAAAGTTGTAGAGGGAAGGAATGGGGATTCTAACCAGGAGAGAGGTTCCAGAGGCTCTGGACCAGCCCGCAGTACACTCTCAGACTATTTAGGAAGAATTTAAGGATTTTAGTGTCTTTTATGTGGAGCTAATATCTGTATCAAGGCTCCTTCAGAAATGCCGTAATGGAGGCAGATGGAGCCCACAGTTTACGTCCTCCTCTCACTGACCTTGACCTCCCCACTCGGTCCCGTCCTCCCCCACACTGACCTTGTCCTCCTCACTCGGTCCCGTTCTCCCACACTGACCTTGGCCTCCCCACTCGGTCCCGTCCTCCCCCAC